TATTCCACCTGGACTCCAACAATTTCCACCCCACCATCAACCTCAGCCTGGACCAGTCCACACAAGAGATCAACTTCCTGGACACTACAGTGCAAATAAGTGATGGTCACATAAACACCACCCTATACCGGAAACCTACTGACCGCTATACGTACCTACATGTCTCCAGCTTCCATCCAAGACACATCACACGATCCATTGTCTACAGCCAAGCCCTAAGATGCAACCGAATTTGCTCCAACCCCTCAGACAGAGACAAACACCTACAAGAGCTTTATCAAGCATTCATAAAACTACGATACCCACCTGGGGAAGTGAGGAAACAGATTGACAGAGCAAGACGGGTACCCAGAAATCACCTACTACAGGACAGGCCCAACAAGGACAATAACAGAACACCACTGGCCATTACATACAGCCCCCAGCTAAAACCTCTCCAGCGCATTATCCACGATCTACAACCCATCCTGGAAAATGATCCCTCACTCTCACAGACCTTGGGAGGCAGGCCAGTCCTCGCTTACAGACAACCTCCTAACCTGAAGCAAATACTCACCAGCAACTACACACCACACCACAGAAACACCAATCCAGGAACCAATCCCTGTAGCAAACCTCATTGCCTACTCTGTCCCCATATCTACTCTGGCAACACCATCAGAGGACCCAACCACATCAGCCACACCATCAAGGGCTCATTCACCTGCACGTCCACTAATGTTATATATGCCATCATGTGCCAGCAATGCCCCTCTGCCATGTACATTGGCCAAACCGGACAGTCCCTCCGCAAAAGAATAAATGGACACAAATCGGACATCAGGAATGGTAACAGATAAGCCAGTAAGTGAACACTTCAATCTCCCTGGTCATTCTAGTACAGATTTAAAAGTCACTATCATTGAACAAAAAAACTTCAGAAACAGACTTCAAAGAGAAACAGCAGAACTAAAATTCATTTGCAAATTTAACACCATTAATCTGGGCTTGAATAGGGACTGGGAGTGGCTGGCTCATTACAGAAGCAGCTTTTCCTCTCCTGGAATTGACACCTTCTCATCTATTATTGGGAGTGGACTACATCCACCCTGATTGAATTGGCCCTGTCAACACCGGTTCTCCATTTGCGAAGTAACTTCCTGCTCTCCATCTGTCAGTGTATATAGTGCCTGCATCTGTAACTTTCACTCTATGCATCTAAAGAAGTGAGGTTTTTACCCCCGAAAGCTTATGCCCAAATAAATCTGTTAGTCTTTAAGGTGCCACCAGACGACTCCTTGTTTTTGTAGATACAGACTAACACGGCTACCCCCTGATATATGATTCAATGACTCTTTTAGGTGACTTAGGGCAGGTCTTCACTACGGCGGGGGTCGATTTAAGAATAGCGTAGCTGAATTCGACCTATCGGAGCCAACTTACCCTGCTGTGAGGACGGCGGCAAAATCAACCTCTGCGGCTCCCCGTCGACGGCGCTTACTCCCACCTCCACTGGTAGAGTAAGAGCGTCGATTCGGGGGTCGATTGTCGCGTCCCGACGAGACACGATAATTCAATCCCCGAGAGATCTTTTCTACCCGCCGATTCAGGGGGGTAGTGTAGACCTAGCCTTAGAGGATTCTTTTATAATTCCTAAAACAATGGTTCTCAAACTTTTTTCTTTATGTGGACAACTTGAAAATTGCTGAGCGTCTCAGCAGATCACTTAATGATCTTTCCAAATGTTGTTTGTACCGTTAGCTAACTATTGTAAAGCGCTTTGGATAAAAACTCTATATTAAAAAAAATCTTAATTATCGATTTTTGTTCCACAAATAAAAGCACACAACTCATATTTTAATATCAGTAATCTTACCTTTCTAATTCAATGGATGTTTCCTCTCTCCTTCGCCGTGGCAGCCCCCAAGTTGGGGGCTGCCGCGGCAGGGGGGACCCCCCCTCCTGCCCAGCCCCAAGTTGGGGAAAGTTGCCTATTTCTCAGGCCACCGCAGCCTTGCATGTCCCAAATTCCCCCCATCCCCTCTTCTCACCCCACTGCCTCCTACCCCCTATTCCCTCCCCAAGGCCACCACCTTCACTAATTAGGTGTGTGGCCCTTCATTCTCTTGTGTGCGGTTGCCCAGGCACACACCTTAGAGGGAACTATCCACGGACCACCTGAATGGAGCTCGTGGACCACTGGTGTTCTGCGGACCACAGTTTGAGAATCTCTGTCCTAAAAGAAGTTGAGATATTAAGAAATTAAAATGATTCCTCCCTGTAGGTTATCCATTTATCCTTCTTTGCTGAACCCATTTCTCCAATTTTTTTTTAAGAGTGCTTTGAGTACAGTCGACAAAGGAATGAAATTTGCAATGTACAAAATAAAACTGCCTTTTGCAAAATTTTAGCCGTTCCTAAATAAAGTACTGTCAGGACAATCCTTAATAGTTTCACCTTTTTAAGCGAAGAGAATTTTAGTATTAATCTTTACTTTTTTCTGTCTGAATTTCAGGGACCTAAAGGTATAAAAGGCACTCGAGGACACTTAGGAGAAGAGGGAGAGCCGGTAAGTTATAACATTTGACTACATTTTACAGAGAAAAAAATACTTCAAAACTTAGTGCCCATAAAGACCTTTTTGGGGGTCAGTATTTAAAAAAATGTAACAACCTGATGGGGAAGGGGGGATTTCCTAATCTTGATACCAAAGAAATCATTCTGATAAAATGGTCACTTTTTTTTTTTTTTTTTTTTGAATCTATGAAGATTCAGCACTTTGTCAATGTTTAATACTCCTGAATTGTAGGTAATTTAGAGTTCCTTCTCTTTTAGAAATTAAAAAAAAAACTTGGGGATCTCTTGGAGAAATTTTACATAAATTCTTGATTAAAATCCTGTTGGTCTACATGAGAATTCTAGGCTTATATTTTTTCCAAATATTAAGAAATTAAAATAATTCCTCCCTTGATTCCTGCCTCAGTGCAGGGGCTGGACTTCTTGACTTCTCCAGGTACCTTCCAGGCCTATATTTCTAAGATTCAATAAGCAAAGGGAAAAGAGAAACCTAATTTTCAGCAAGTAGGCAGGCAAGTATTTGCATGTGAACTAAATACTTAAATGCAAAGTATGTTTACAAACTGGTGCACACACATTCCTATATAAGTGCCTATTTAGTTCGGAATTTATCTAGCCGTGTGTGTAAATAATATCCCCAATAGTATGCAAAGTAGGCACGGATTTGCATGCACATTCACTATTGGACCCATAGTATGCAGTTATGTAATCTTTGCTGTCTGCAAGCTGCTGAGACTGAGTACATGGCACAAGAAAGACATTAGGAAACTAATGTTCACCACTCCCATTTATAAATCATTGGGTTTCATGCCTTCTGTGTTTCCATATACACGGCTTGATTCATCATTCAATTACTCCACTCTGTAACCCATGGAGTTACATGGGCATAAAACTGAGTAACCTAGTGGTGATTCAGGCCCAATAAAAGGAAACAGTATTTTCAATTCTGACGATTTGTTTCAGATTAAGAAACACAACAGATAGGATGGATTATATTTGTGCTTTTTTCCACTCTCTTAAACCACACCTGTTAATGGTGTGGCTCCTGAATTATCACTTATAGCGGAATGTGCTTGGTTGCACTAAGACAGAAAATACCAGCATAGCGCATGAATGTGGTCTGACAAGTAAAACACTAGTAGAACTGCTTGAGTAGCAACATGAGAAGTACACCAGAGACACTGTTCTAGCACTTGATAAGAGGCGAGTTAGATTGTATTTAATGTCTAATTTGGGATCATGATACTATGGAGCAGATTCACGGCCCCACTTGCTTTGCACTGCTCAGGTGGGGCAAAGGGAGTAGACTCTCCCCTCCTCTCCCCTTGGAGAGTCCCACAAGGGTGTAGAGCCAGCATAGCTTCTGAACTGCACCACACTCCTGTGTAACTGAGAGCAGAATTTGGCCTTTGGACTGTGCTCACTGAAAAAAACATGGATTGATTATTTTTCTTGCCCACTGGGCCTAGGCCTTCATTGCAGCAACACCCTCTTCCTCCTCTGGCCCTCTCCTCCTGCCGCACCTTCTCTTCTCTTCCCACCCCTCCAGCAGGAACTCTCTAAGTAGAGTAGTATTAAGAGCAGAATGAAGGAAAGTGCCCCACTGCTATCTATAGTGGAGGTGAGCAACATTAATTGTCAATTTCCCTTTTCAATTCAGAACTTTCTTTTGCATTATGCAAAGTGATTACACTTGGTATGAAACTCTTATATAACGATCAGAAGCTTGTAATGCGGTTTTAACTGCACAAGCACTTAGCTCAATCTGAGTCTGCTCAGGCTTCTGAAACATGTAGTTTATGCGGGGGCTTTCTCAGAGATTTACCATATTCATTAACCTACACGCTCCCTTTCTAGTATTACATCATCTCATGAATATAGTCGTCCCCTGATCAAACATGTGATCACTCTCCTTACAAACTTCATATTTCATTTACTAGGCAGGATATACTGAGATGTGTTTTTCATTCTCTCTCTTTCAGGGTTCAAGAGGACTGCCTGGACCAATGGGAGAGCCAGGGAATAAGGGATGTGATGGTAGTACAGGTCCTAAAGTAAGAATCTACTGACTTTATTTTAACTCAGCAAAATGTCTCTGCATTTT